TAGGGGAAAATGGGAGGTAAAGCAGAAAGCAGTGCATTGCCTAAATCTTTTCCTCTAAATAAATAAATATATATATTTTTTATATATTTTTTTTGGACCGCTCACGTGGCTTTGTGTGCTCAGCTAGGGCCTGAGGTATGTATTACTTACGACGTGGCAGACTTTGGGATCCTCCAGCCACAAGACCACGCCGCGTGGCGGGAATCAAAATGGGTGGGTGGAATGGCAAAATAAAAAACAAAACCAAAAAAATTTATCCGCTCCCTATCGGTCCCCTGCTGCGCTCCCCACTAACGCCGTTGCCTTCCCAAGAATTCATACGGTATGAAAGGTGTCGTAAAGAAGTGTGTATTTCTCTTTACCAGGATACATGCATGTACACCAATCAAGTTCGCCAGCCCTCCCGCGATTATTCTCTTCAGAAATTCCTAGTCCTAAAGGCAGCAGGACACCACCTTGTGCACCACGGAGAAAGTGATTGTGCCAACAGGATACGAGTTTGCGTTGGTGTATATAAACGCATTAGCTTACAGCAAATAAAAATAAAAATAAAAATAAAAAATAAATAAAAGCCATCAAGCACAACATTTTGTGAAACTTTTATTTAATTTTCTGTTTTAGGTAAGCCATAATAGTCTCAGGGGATCGTTCTCCTCTGTAGCGAACCCCTTTTTTTTGAAAAGGCCGCACCAAAAAAAGGGAGGGATAAGAAGTCACTTTAAACTTTGAGGCCAGTTGTCGGAGCCGTTTACTGTCCATCTTGCCCACAATCAGCTTGGCTCTCAATGCCTCATCCTCCTGCACCATTGCAGCCAGCTTCGCAAACTCCGGGGCAAACCTCCTGCAGTGGCCACACCACGTGGCGTAGAACTCCACAAAAACATATTTGGATTGGCCAATTATTTCGTCATAGTTGGAAGGTTGCAACTCGACCACGCCTTTCATCGCCGCACCCGGCCCATCGGCGGGAACACCCATCTCCTGACCGTAAAAGTCATAGACTGTATACATGTATACAAGCAACAAAATCAACAGTATAGCAATCCCCGTCGTCACCCAAGTGAAAACTGGAAGACACGTCTTCCGTGCCATCTTTACTTCCGTATCTTCCTTTTAGATTTGTAATCTCAAAGCCCCGTGATTGTTATTTCCTTGTTTTTTTGTTTTTTTTTTCGTTTTACTGTAGGTTAAAAGGAAAAGGTTCCCCTTCGCTACCAACGATAAATCTTTTCTTTGTTCCCTCTCCACCAGTAATGATGTACTGACCCTTATTGTGTTCGTAGCTGTCAATGGCAAGTGCAAAAAAAAAAAAAAAAAAAAAAAAAAAGAAAGAAACTGAAAAAAGTACACTCCATCCTTCTCTCTATTATTATCAGAAATTCACAAGAGATATATGCATGGATGTATATATATATATATAATAGAAATACATATATACGTATGTATGTGTGTGAAGAGTACGAAACAAACAACCGCAATATAAATAACTAAATAAATAAATAAAAGATGCAGCTGTATTTATTCGCTCCATTTCCTTTTTTTTTTCCCCTTTTTAAATATATACGTGTGTGTTACTAACATCGTCTGCTTCCTCTCCGTCTCTCACCTTCGCTTCTTTTCCCCACAGTTTCTCTGGTGGGTTTTATTTTGTTTTTGTTGTTTTTTTTTTTTTTTCGCTTCTTTTTTTTTTTTTTTATTTTTATTTTCGTTCTTTCGCATGTAAAATAAACGATGGAGAGAAATTATGACTGGCACCACTCCCACTTTTTAGTCATCCTTCACACTGACTTCTTTCCAGTGACGGCTGGTGTTAGGGTCTTTTTGCCCTCTACGTCTTCCCCTGCCAATTGCCTCCGTAGCCTCTGCATCTCACGCGTTGACTCCTTGCGTTCCTCCTCTGGCACCAATTGCATCAGGCCCATCATCCCCATTGACACAAGCATCAAAAGAATCATGGGATTCATTAAAAAGTTCATAATACTATATTGCTCCCGTGGTACATAGTACGCATGCACACCCGTAAATGGAATAATAGCTGGCGATGCATCATCAAGCCCTGTCCCTTGCACAGGTACCATTGTACCGTCATTGATGTAGGTCCGAATAATCGGTCTAACGATGCCTTGTATTGTCTTCTGTGTGACGTCAACACGAATGGTAGGGTAAATAAAGTTGGCATATTCTGCATGAAGGTGGTAGGCGCCATATGGAACGTCATGCAGGACAAATGAACCATCCATCCTTGTTGGCACGCGCATAATGCGTGCACCGTTACTGAGCACAACCTCTCCACCCTGCACACGCCACAGTGGGTCTGCAGAATCCGGGTGTTGATAAAAGTTTGGATGAATCAACAGACGGCCGTAGTAAGTCGGCGAGGCGGGCAGCTGCCGCTCATGAGACTCCACCTCCTCTGCCACCGCAACAACGGTACAAAACAAGAGAAAAAAACATAAAACAAAGAGAGCATTGCACCCCGTCCCCACAATCCCCTTCGCCGTCCTCTCGCCTGCCAACATCGTAACCCTATTCATAGATCCCATAACTTCCTACACGAGAAAAGACACGTCTTTTAATGTCACCTCCCCTTTCCTTTCGATTCCCGTTTCTTTTTAGCGTTTTCTTCCCTCACCCTCAGAATAATCCAGTGGGAAAAGAGGGATGTTAAAGTCCCACATGCATACATGCAAGCATAGAGGCAAGAGAAGTAAAGAAATCACGGCGATGTCATTGAAAAAAAAACCAAAAAAAAACGGAAAAGACACATCCATTCCGGTGGATGAATACAAACAACAAATCCATCCAAAGGAAATGACATGCACCAAAAATACAAACAGAGAGAAATGGCATCTTCACAATCCGTATTTCAAATTTATTTTCAAGAACAAGCAAAGGATGAGAACACAGAGAAGCCACATACTCACACACATAAATGCAAATACGCACGCAACGGAGAAGAATAAAAGAAGGACTGGCTTTCTATTGCACAACGAACATGATAAGCACTATAAGAATGATCACCAAAACCACAATACAAATAATCTTCTTACGGTCACTGGCCGAGTCTAACAGTCTAGAAGTCTTCTTTACCACATTTTCCAGACGCATCTGCGCCCGCGTCATGCCACTGTCGATATCGTCCAGCACATGTTCTTGCGTGTCGAGTTCGTCCCTGACGTTCACTGCAGTCTCCCTCACACGACGTACAC